GGATTTGCTTTCAATTATGAAACAGTAGCTGATAAGTAATTCCCCAAAGAAGAAAAAAGGCAAGAAGAGTCTCCAGAACACCATAAACAAAATCGCTCCCTCACAGTCACACCTCCCTGCGGTCTCTGTGCAACCCCTGGCTCACAAATCTTTATCACATCTCCAGTAGTGGATATCATCCAGTGCAAAGAAAAGAATACGAAAAACAACAAAAACACGGAAGAAAAACTCTTGAAAAGGAAAAGAAACTTTAAAAACTCGGCGTCCGAATTTAGGGTTACGGTAGCGTGCATCTTTTAGTGTAGTGAGTGCGTCGAGCTTTTGCACCACGAAAATCGGGTCGCTCGTGATTTTTACGCGTTTTACCTTGCGAGATGGGTTGGTTGTATGTGCTCCTAATGAATAAAATGTAATAAAGGAGAGCAGAATTATTCATGGGCACGAGCGCGGTCAGCAAAAAGGACATGCAATTCCGATTAATGCCCGCCGCCCCAACAAAGAACAACTGAGCGGCCGTCGGAGGGCATCTAGCAAGTGGGGCGGTCCAACTGAGCGGGCGTTAGAACTAGAACTTTCAGCGGCTGTAGCTCGCTCCTCGCTCGCTGTGGAGTCGAATAGAGTGGGGACAGTCTCTAGCTTGGGGGCTGTACTACTTGCACAAGGAAGGACGACCATGTACTACTCGAGCGCCGTTCTGTCTTTAAAATCCCGGGTCGACTCCCGAATGCCGCATCCCACGAAGGGTTGATCAACGGCGAAGAGTTCATCCTTTATTTTTCCAATGGTTATTTAAATGAACTATCCTGACATGAGTGAAAAAAACGGAGTCATAGTATACAGTTAAATTGTACTTCTAAACTGAAATGCTTTACAGTATTACACAATTATAAACTAATACTAGATGTCAGCGATGTTTTTTCAGAACCTGCGTCCGGATAACTTTCCTCGACTGAATCGAGTTAATCATCCAGGTGGTGCTCCTACTAATGCGAAGGCTGCTCAGCCTCCACCAACAACGTCGTCCAATGGAGTGCCTTCGTCTTCCAGTGCTCATCCGAAAGCTCGTCAAACAATCCAGTGCGTTTGTATAACCATATTGCTCATTCAAATGAGAACCCATGAATAGAGTCGCTCATCAGCTAGACATTTTAAACATATTTGCGTTATGGAGTAGGGCTGTAACTAAAAGGACAGACCAGGAAGAGGTTTGACAAAGTTTGAGTGCAGGTAGCGTCGCAGTTTTCGATTCAGTGCGCCAAAGAGATTGCTAGGTGGATTTCTTTATTTAATTTGACCTGAAGTTTCAACCAGATCGTCGTCTTTAAAAGCCAGTCTACCACTGCACGAGAGCAACGAAGACTTTCGGTCTGTGCGCTGGCCCATAAATAATGACGTTTTTTACACAAAATTAAATGAAGAATGAGAATTGTTTAGAGCGCGTACTCTGCTATTTGATAGATAATTTCCTGCTCACGAGACTGTTTAGTCGACTTCCTACTGCTTCTTTATATTTATTCATTTTTATTGTATTGGAATGGTGTGTCGGGTCGACACCAATGTGAATATCTGACAGTAACTTTCTGTACTAAATCTAGGCTCCCACATTGCAGAAGCTGCTCAAGCCTTGTAATAGATAAGATCGAGGAGCGATGCCTCTTAGGACTGCTTGAAACAGGCGCTTCGAAGATGGGGACTCGGACCTAGTAAATGTGCACCGCACAGCACACCCTCTTGGAGAACGACTGCATGCAGAGCATCCACCGACTTTTAGCACGTTCGCGGCGACGCTGTTTCGCCAAAAATCCCGTTTGTCGAGCACCGTGTTCGCGGCGGCAACACATAGCCAGTCTTCCCGTTCATGGTTGAACGCAAATTCGCCGAAGCTCTCTATTTCAGTTTATTTTGTCATTTTCTCCTTCTGTAGTTTTTTGTCAATAAGAACTCGTCAACTGTACGAGTGCAGGTCCTTAGGCACGCAATAAACATCGGAAATGAAAATCCTATCAGCGTATATGTTCCATAACCAGCTCCCTTTTCCTCCATCTCCACATATATTACTTCAATCTTTGTTTCACTTGATGGAACATATAGAGCTTGCCTCAGCTACTGTTTCATTAGGGGGTTCTTTGGTGTCTTGGTGGGGAACTTGGAAGTAGGAAGAACTCGACAAGATTTCAGAGATGTGGGAAGGGGGATCAAAAAAAGGTTTATCAACCTCGCTAGAGTTTCAACAAAAGAAGATTTGCTGTACTTCAACTATGCCGCGGTTTACAGAGAATCGTTTCTGAAGACTATTCCACTTCGAGCACTTAAAAATTTGTAGAAAGGAAATCTTCGAGGAAAAAAATCTAGGATGGCTGTCTTATAGAGCAAGAAATTCTCTGCTAAATAGGATTGAATTGTCTTCTAAATGGCATATTAACCTCGATGGCAAATCTTCTCATATATTGCGCTAAATTTCGGTTAAAAAAGCCATTACTTATGAGCGGACATAGTAGTCGAAACGCCAGGCCAAATTAAATGTCGAGTTCTATCTAACAGCGTCTTTTGTCGGTGAAACGAAAGCTGCAAAGTTCGCTGTAACGCCGAGTTCAGCGAAAAGAGAAGTTGATTACAGAGTTGTGTAGACCTTGGTAGGAAAATTATGTATGAAGTTATGCGACAAATGAGGGGGGTATAAAAATGGCAAAAACGTGACAAGCAGCTAATGATAGTGCACTCAATAAATTTTGCGGAATTGAGAAACAGATGCTACTCCTAGCACCACAGTATCATTTCTAGCATTATTCGACTGTGAAAGGTTCCAGTCTCACTAAATTCACTAGGCCAAAGAACGGGGAAGAATAGCACTAGCGAAAAGGTCATGCATGAGAAAATGCACTATGATGCGTTTTGGTTGTCATTAATCCTCGTTGAGCGGCGTATTTCTGCCCAAATACCTTAATGTTCTGCCTGTTTTGTAGAGCGCCAAATCATAGTCAACGAGTAGAAGACTTCCCCGCTCTTCCAGCGGCATCGAAACAGGGTCCGACGAAATCTGCTTGGGTTAACAAGAAAAGTTCCAAGGTGAGTCCGCCGTTCATTGGAAGCCCATGTGCGTTCCACTTCACTTGCCCCTCCCTTTGCTTGTATTCCACATGACACAACTTCAGTCTGTGATTGTTGGTTGCAAGATGCCAAACGGCAGTAGAGTTCTACCGCAGCCCGATGTCTGGCCAGATATATCTGTCTCAACGCCGGCTAGAGAAGTCGAACCGGAGCAGTGGCAAGAGGTATGCTCAACTGTTTTGTACGTAGTTTGTTCTTCTCACAACGAAACTGTTGAAGTCTCAAATAAAAGCGCTCAAGACTGTGAGATCCGTCTAGGAGGATAAGAGCACTGACTAGTACATCAGCGGGCCTTCACAAGTCATCGTATTAGGCATTTAATGAGGACTACGATTTTGATTGGAAATAAAATGCGTACCATATTCCAAAGAAGGACCGATGAGCGGGGAAGACATCGTCATTTTACCCTTTATAATCAACGTGAAATGTGGTGTATACATTAGAAATATCTTTTATTAGTATGTTTTTTCTTAGGTACCTGCCAAACCGCCAAAAGTGGACAAAAAAATCCGAAGAGCGCAACAGAAAGCCGTCAAGTTGGATAACACTGGTACATTAGATGAGACGCAGGAGAACCATACAGTTCCTTCTGGCTCAACTGCTGGTACTAAAGTTGCAAACGATTTCAATATGGTGAAAGTCACCGGGAATCTAGAAACATTCTTCGCGATGGCGCCAGTTGCGATCCAGAAAATCCAGAACTGGTTTCGGACCATACAGCAAAGTATATTCAATGATGTGACGATTCTTGCTGATCCAGCTGCCGCCTGCCGAGAGGAGGTTGTCGCAAAACTGAAAGACTGCTACGCTGAAGTATTCAAGACAGGACTTGGCCGATGCACAAAGACTAAGGCGACGCTGCAACTGAAACCCGATGCTCACCCTGTCTTCAAAAAGAAGCGTCCCGTGCCATACGCTTATGTCACCGCATTAGATGAGGAGATCGACCGACTACTTTCAGAAGGTGTACTTTCCCCCGTCGATTACTCTGCCTGGGCAGCACCTGTGGTTGTTGTCAAGAAATCAAATGGAACACTTGCGCCTCTGTGCCGATTTCTCTACAGGACTGAACAGTGCCCTGATGCTACATCAACATCCACTGCCCACTCCAGATGACATCTTCACGAAACTAAACGGTGGCACGACATTTACGCAGATTGACTTCGCAGATGCATACCTGCAAATCGAAGTCGACGACGAGGCGAAGGAGTTATTGACCATCAATACGCACAGAGGACTACTCCGCTACAATCGCCTACCGTTTGGCGCGTTAAATCTGCACCTGGCATCTTCCAACAAATCATCGATTCCATGATTTGTGGACTAAACGGCTGCGCTGCATACCTCGACGACGTCATAGTCACAGGCCGCACCATTGAGGAACACGTTGCCAATCTGGAAGCCCTCTTCAAAAGGATATCCGATTACGGCTTCCGCGTCCGGATCGAAAAATGTAATTTTCTCATGCCTCAACTCCGATACCTAGGAAACATTATCGATTCCACAGGACGAAGACCCGATCCCGCCAAGATCGAAGTGATACGCAAGATGCCACAACCCAAGGACATTGCACAAGTGCGATCGTTCCTTGGAATGCTCAGCTACTACGGACACTTCGTCAGTGAGATGCGACAACTGCGTGCACCGTTGGACGCTCTGCTGAAGAAGGACGTACCGTTCAAATGGTCCGCCGAGTGCGAAGAAGCCTTCCAACGCGCCAAGGATGTGCTTGCCTCGGACCTGCTGCTCACCCACTACGATCCAACAAAAGAGATCGTTGTCGCGGCCGACGCATCGGAGTACGGGATAGGAGCAGTAATCAGTCACCGCCTTCCGGACGGAACGGAAAAAGCTATTCACCATGCCTGCCGTTCCTTGACAGCTGCCGAGAAGAATTACGGTCAAGTCGAGAAAGAGGCTCTCGCGATAACGTTCGCCTTGCGGAAGTTCCACCGCTACATTTACGGACGTCAATTTAAGCTGTTAACAGATCACAAACCACTCCTAGCCATATTCGGAACCAAGAAAGGAGTACCTGTCTACACGGCCAACCGGCTACAACGTTGGGCTCTCATAGTGAAGAACTACGACTTCAACATAGAATACAGATGTACCACTAGTTTTGGACACGCAGACGTTCTATCCCGCCTCATCGCAGAACAATCGACGCCTCAAGAAGATGCGGTCATTGCAGCGATAGAGAAGGATTCGTCCACCGTATTCGTCAATGCCATGTCGAAATTACCAGTGGATGCCCACACAATAGCAGAAGAAACCTCTAAGGATCCTATTCTGAAACATGTTCTTCATTTCGTGCGGAGCGGAGAATGGCCAAGGAAATCAGATATCACGAAAAGATTTTTTTTTTTTTTTTGTCTTCACAAGCTTCAAAGCAATCGCCTCTCAACACACAATAGATGTTCTACTTATCGCGCGAGATGCGCGTTATAATTCCTGATAGCCTACGTGAAGTTGTGCTGTGCGAACTTCACGACGGACACCCAGGGATGACTCGGATGAAGATGCTCGCCAGAAACCACGTCTACTGGATGAACATCAACAACGATATCGAAAACTTCGTGAAAGCATGTCAAAGTTGCCAGGAAGCTGCGAAGAATCCAGTGAAAGCAACATTATGCTCGTGGCCAATAGAGGATAAGCCATGGAGTCGCATACATGCCGATTTCGCAGGACCGATCGATGGTACAACTTACCTCATCGTCGTTGATGCTTACTCGAAATGGCCAGAAGTTATCGAGATGTCATCTACCACTACAAGCTGCACGATAAGAGAACTACGCCGTCTTTTCGCTCAGTTTGGGAATCCAGAAACACTAGTGACGGACAATGGACCGCAATTCACCTCCAAGGATTTCAGCAACTTCTGCAACAAAAACGGCATCACACACCTGAAGTCACCACCCTTCCATCCACAGTCCAACGGACAAGCAGAACGCTTCGTCGACACGTTCAAAAGAAACTTCAAGAAGATGAAGAAGAACCTACCATCGACTGAGGCACTTCAGAAGTTCCTGCTCTGCTACCGCCGAACTCCTTGCTCTTCCACGCCTGGAGGACTGTCCCCTGCTGAAGCTTTCTTGAAAAGAAGAATCAGGACAAGCCTAGACCTTCTGAAACCAACTGAGACCTCAAGCGTCAAAACGCGGAATCAGAAGATGGAGGACCAATATAATCGGCATCACGGAGCACAAAGAAGGGAATTCAACGTTGGCGATTTTGTCTGGACTATCGAGCAGGAACACCACGACAGATAGCCGGTCGGATACAAGAAAGACATGGAAACAGACTATACGACATTCTAGTCGATGGACAGATTTGGACAAGACATACAAACCAAATACGTCCGGGCAGCGATACACCTTCTACCACGAGCAGACCACTAGAAGAGTTCGCCGACCTACCGTTGTTACCATGTGCAAAGCCACCAGACACACAAGGAGAAATGAGGACAAAACAGTCAGCGACAACCAGTACACCAGAATCCACACCGTCAAACAA